GAAGCCAAGGTGCAGTCGTGCAAAGGCTGTATTTGAGGCAGGGTTGTCAATCCTCACTCTGAGAGCAGAGCTGCACCCTGAAATGATGAGCTGTCCCCTTCCCCCAGCACAGGGAAGCCAGAGCCCGTCATCCAGCAGCTCTTCAGTACAAGACCCACCACTCCTGTCCGTGTGGGAAACCTGGGCTGCGGAGCAGCAGCCTGGAAACCTTTTGTTCTCGTCACTTAACATCTGAGCAACTTCTGGCTGAGAATAAACAGCAGAAGCAGATGTTTGCATGCAAGCACCCCAAGGGATGAAGTGATGGGAAGAGCCACGAAGTCAGGACTGGTAAGTTACAAGAGTGCAGGCATGAAAATAGTGGAGAAGTGAATGGCAAAGGTTTCCCCTCAACTTGAGAGAAATCAGAGAGTTGCCCCCTTTTCACACAGGGCATGATCAGTCCCACGCAGAAATGGTTTCTCCAGTCCAGCGGGCTGGGCAGTGGTAAGCCGATGTCTGCCTCTGGTGTGGAAAAAGCATGAGCAGATCAGCTGACTCTGGGCACAGGCATGCCACATCCTCTCCCCGCCTCATGGTGCCATCTCAGAGACGGTGACAGAAGAGCTGCACAGACTCACAGGCTCACCACGTGCTCTCACAGCAGCGATGACACCCAAGAGCCTGCAAACAGGTGGAGAGCAGGGTTCCTGGCTGTCAGCACAACCACGGCTCAACTGCAGGGCTCCTTTAACACCAGGGTCTTGCTCTCATGCTACGACTTGTGTGGCAAGACGTTGTTCTAAATTAAACTCCGCCATAAACAGCTCTGTTGCCACGTGAGGGAGACATGCCCTGCCTTCTTCACCAGTGCCACCACTTCCATGCCAGAGCTGCGGACATGGCTGGACTGCTTCAGCCACAGCAGCAACTCAGGAGGCCCTGGCTGCCAGCAAAATGAGGTCTCGCTTTCCTGGAGTTTCCTTGGAGCCTATGGTTAATGGAGCGGTGACCTGTTTGCACCAGGGAAAAGCGGCAAATGCGCCTAAGACAGGCAACAACCAAGTTACGAGAAGGTTATTTCTACACAGTCACTTCTTGATTAAAATGCAAACACATCACACTGATTATGGAACTGATTAGCAACTCCTTTGCATATCAAAGGGGCTGCAGTGAAGAAGCTATTGAGAAAGAGGTCAACAGTTCTCCACTCCAAGGCAATATGAAAGAAGATGTACTGGTCAGTAATACAGAGACAATGCCTTTGTGAAACCGGCTTTGTTCCAGGCTGAGTGATGGCATTATGAAAGAGCAATGGGGCAAAACCCATGAAAATCTCAAATCTAAAGCAGATGAATTATTTGAAAGGAAGGACAAGATCCAGCAGCTGAAAAACAGAGTTAGAAAAATCCCAGTGAGAAATAAGACAACTTGTTGGCAGATAATGCAGCCAATGAACCACCAGAAGAGCTTTGCAAGGAAGTTCACTGTCAAATAATGTCTTTGATCCGAGACCTGCTGACGGGCTTGCAGGATCAGGGTTTGGTATTCCCTTCTTGGGATAAACAGGAGACACACCGACTTGCTACTGCCAGGTATGGAGGCTATCTGAAAACAGTACTTCTACCTTTGAGCAATTCATAGTTCACATTCCTGTAACAAGTTCTGTTGCCTCTACCAAAATCCACAGCGGAACAAGACGATGACTTCTTTTTGTTAACACCTGGTATGACATATATTCTTACAAGCTCCAGTCCTTCCAATCACCTTTCTCCCCCAAAACAGATGTGTTCAACTTACTACCACCAGCAGCTCCGACAACAGCTAAAGGGAAAGACTGGAGGTTTTTTCCTAAATGTGGCAGCCTGTTTACTGTGAAAACTCAATGCGCAACGATCACACATGGTTTTTCCTGTGTACGCTCTGTTTCCTGTTTGTTGGAGTCCTTAATGCAAGAAACACGAAACTTGTGTGACAGTAAATCCATCAGCGCTCAGGAGTGTAATTAATGCCCAAACCAGTTTCTCCCAACTGACTGGTCTTTTAGTTGAAGGCACTGCTTTCCAGTGGTTTAAGAGGCAAGGGGAGGAAGGCTTGCTAGTTAAGCAAGGCTTGTCTCTGGAAAGTCTTCTCCTTTTGACACCTGTGTTTGCCTGGATACGTCACCATCACCAAACCTGAGTTACGCCACGCTTGCCGACTTGCGGTGGCTCCTTCCCGGACCCGATGCTCTTGGGGAAAGATCTGGGTGAGAGCAACCTGGACCCCGGGAGACCCGCTTCGGTATCCTGGAGCCAATTTTCAAGCCCAACCAAAGCTCCCAGCCGTGCCGGGTTCACAGAGTTGCATGGTTCCGAAGCTGGGAACATTCTGTCCAGACTTGGACAGGACCCAAAACATACATAGGGACCGACGAGTGCTTTGAAGGAATATAAATACACTCCAAATGGCAAAGGACAGTTTCCAGACCTTGAGACCTAGCGATTCCTGTTACCACCCTGTTTTTCTCCTGCAACTGAAATACGACATGATTTTTTTTTTTGCCTGCACCATTTCATGAGCCCCAAATACATTTGTTTCCATCACACAATAAATAACCAATCTCTCCCACAAGTCTAGCAGTTCACAAAAGCATTGCCGCCCCTGTGGGAAGCCGGCCCTACACCAGCTTTAGGAAGATACCTGAACACTCACTGAGTTGACCCTGTGAGCCAGGTGTAAATCAGTGTTACAGAAAGGCCTGAGCAATGTGTCTGCCTCACTCGAGTCCCTGTGCTACCAGCTCTTCCATGGCTCCTCCACACCAGGAACAGATCCCAGTTGTCCTGGGGAGACCCCAAACCTTCCCCACCTGTAAAAGAACCAGCTCTCTTCTCCCAGTGCAGGAAGAAAAGCTCAATGGGAAGTAGGACAGCACTGTGTAATTTGGGGCCTGGTGAGCACAGGTCAGAAAGTTTCCCAGACACTGGAAAAATAAGTTCTGTCGGTGCTCAGGCACAAGGCAATCTTCGTAATCCTGCTCCACAACCTGCTGCCACCCTGCCCAAGCACAGCCGGGGCAAGGCGGGCAGGGATATCCTAGCTGGGAGGTGTTTTCTCTTTAGAGCGAGCCCCCTCCCCGCACAGGGACAGGCAAGGGGAGGAACCTGTGCCACCCTATCTGCACCCTGCACGGGGCTGAGCGCCTAACCCACCCCCTGGAGCCCCCCTGCCCCAAGCCCCAGGCACCTACCTCCTCCAACTCATCCTTGGCATCCAGAAGAGTGGAGACCAGCAACTTCCCTCCTCCTCCTGCTGTTCCCCCCTTCCCCTTCTGCATCTCCATGGTGGTGGTGGTGGGAGGAAAGGGGGGAGGGCAGCCCCCAACCAAGGGGCTTGGCCTGAGAGGAGCCCCCCCTTTTTACTTGGCAATCCCCCCCCCCCAGCTCTTCCTCGTGGGAGGACAGGGAGGGGGGTGTTTGTGGGAAGTACCCCTCCTCTGGAGCACCCCCTGCTCCTGCAGTGGGGTGGAGGGGACAGGGACACCCCGCTCTGCTCCTCAGGGGCTTCACCCTGGACAGGGGCAGGGTACAGGGGAGCGGAGGGGCTGCTCTTTGACTAGGGCAGGCCTGGGGCCTGCGGCCGTGCTG